GGGGCTCCGCTTCGCGTCGTGCCTAACAATGCCCCTTAGCTGTTATAAATTCACTGTAAACCACGGCTTCACGGGCTTATTGCTTTATTAGAATGATTTCTGAAGGATCATGTGTCACTGAAGACTGAAGTAATGATGCTGAAAATTCATCTTTGCATCACAGGAAATTTAAAAGTTAGGAAGTTAAAACTAACAGTTTAACTTTATTTTAAAATATATTCAAATATATCATTTATTACAGGGGAAAGAATTGAACCGAATGCTCTCACTGCATTTTTAATTAAATAAATACAGCTTGGTTAAGCGACGTTTCTTTCAAAAACATAAAAAAATTTGACAGAACCCAAACCTTTGAATGGTTGTAAATACTGGCATGTTAGCATGAGACACAGATGTCACAGATGCTGTAGATAGAGCTTAACTTCCATTGCTGTAGATAAGCTAATTCCATAGTTTCTCTGTGTGTCTCTGTACAGCTGGTGTCTGCAGACGGCTCTCATGGCTCTGACGGCGGTTCAGTGTGTGCAGACTCTCAGGCCGATCTGCCGCCCCCGCCGGAGAGGACAGGAGGCATCGGAGACTCCAGACCCCCTTCCTTCCAGTCAGTAACCCCACAGCTGTCCCGCACTGTCTCTTTCTGTGTGTGTGTGTGTGTGTGTGTGTGTGAGAGAGAGTGAATGTGTTTGTTTTTGTGTGTGTGTGTGAGAGAGTGAATGTGTTTTAGTGTGAGTGTGTGAGTGAGTGTGTGCGTGTGTGTGAGAGTGAGTGCGTTTGTGTGAGAGTGTGTGTGTGTGTGTGTGTGTGTGTGTGTGAGAGTGTGTGCAAATGTTGTCAAATTCCGGCAAACCTGATCCATATGTTTGGCTTTGCCCTTCATTGTATAATTATTGGACAAACATTTTTGAAACTTTATCATTTATTACAGGGGAAAGAATTGAACCGAATGCTCTCACTGCTATGTTTGGAATTTGCCCCTCTGTACCATCCTTGTCAATTCTTAAACAGGATGCAATTGCCTTGTTACTCTGTTGGCTAGGAGACTAATATTGCTGAACTGGAAATCGCCCCCTTCACATTCTCGTTGGTTATCAGATGTTCTTTATTTTATTAAATTAGAAAAGATACGATTGTCCCTCAATTAGTAGTGATGTACCAAAATGAATTTTTTACAGAAACCGAAATTAAAGTTTTCACTCAGCCAAAAACCGAAACTGTAAGTAATGTTTATGTATAATCAATTAATTAATGAAATTTATTTAAGAAAATTAACACTCAAATAAAAATTTCACATAAAGCAGTTTTTACATCAACTTTTTAATGATATAATTATGTTTCTACTCAAATGCTTTCCTATTTGTCATTGTTGAAGCAGGTAGTCACAGCTCTAAATTAGTGGTCGACCGATATGGGTTTTTTGACAGCCGATACCGATGCCGATATCTTGGAAAGCAGGGTGGCCGATGGCCGATATAAAACCGATATAATTGTATTTATTTTAATTAATATTTAAGAAATTTGAAATCATTTGAAAATGTATTAAAAAAATAAACGTGTAAAATAAACATACTTATACTCTAGAAGTCAAAGTATTTTTCACAAATAAATAAATATTTAATAAAAATATAATTAAAAAGTAAGTAAACACTGTAACCAACAGGGCACTAAGTAATCTGGGAAGTTTGTGTGCATTGGGAATCATATTTTTTCAAATAAAGCCAAGGTAACACTAATTTTACATACAGCGCACAGTGAAAATGACATGAATATGACAATGGGCAAATGCATAAAAATGACATGAATATGACAATGGGCAAATGCATAAAGCGCAGCATAATTTGAAATCAGTCCAGTGAAGCTGATCTCTCCTCCTGTCCGTATTCAATTCGCACGGACCATAGGACCGACCGTCACAGAACACGCGATCATGCAGGTCACACGCACACTTCACAAGATCTCAACTAGATTCGACTAAGTCTGCAAGGTTTGTGAAATTAAATGTTCATTAGTCATTCAAAGATTTGTTTAAATTATATAAATGCGTATTTGCGGAATGCTGACGGCAAATGAAAAAGTATTATAATGTTTGCCTTTAATAATATTAAAGAAATCGTTATAATACTTTTTTGTATACATTTTAATTCCTTTGTTTAACAGTTCTATCTGATTATTAGATAGACTTCTATCCGTATTAGACAGAACTGAATGACAACAGTGAATAAGAGGGAGAATGTGAGCTGCCGCAGCCATTCTCGGCGCAATCAAAATAAAAGTCCCGCCTCGAACACATCGGCCAAACAGAAAAACTTATCGGTCGATGCCGATATTTGAAAAATGGCAGATATCGGCCGATATATCGGTCGACCACTACTCTAAATCACACCACTGGTTGAGCCAGACGTTTTGGACCCACAGTTTTCACACCGTATGGCTTTGTTGTTGTTGTCTTTGAATAGTAAACTGGTATAGGAAAAAGTATTTTAACATGAAACAATTAAACAATATAAACCTTAGTGTGACAACAAAACAATACATTAAACAATAAAAACTTCAAGAAAGCACACAGTTTGCTAAATACCGTGTGTGATCTTGTCAGATACACTCACTGGAGGTGGTTAGAGACCGGAAGCGCTCGGTGTTGACATGAACTCGTTACCCTTCGGTCTCAAAGGCACCGGTTTCCTCTAACGTGAACTAATCAGAGCCCTAACCCCGAGAGCGCTAGCACGTCAATACCCTTAATGACATCTGGCTGATCACAGGAGTGTGTTAAGAGGAGCTGTGCGAGTCTCAGATCTGTGCGTGTTCAAATTTTCCAATAAGCCGGAGACCCCATTACTTGTAAATCTAATCAACTCTACAGGCCCTCAGAGAAAGACCTGCTCATCAATTTAGATCGATGTTTAACTTACAATGGCTTTGTTTGCTTTAAGTGCTCATTTTGATGGGAATGTGGAAGTGGTTAAGAAAAAGAAAGACCTGGTGAAGGTGAAGCGTTATTAGGTTTGAACAGCTAATTGAAATGCGATACAGCCTTTAGAGAAATTGCGAAAGCCTGCAATTCAGTTAAATAAATAAATAGTCAAAGTTTAAAGTGAATGAGCGGCATTTTGTTTTGTCTTTTTTCAGTGGGGTGTATTAGGATTCTTTCTTACAGTGTTTTCACACTTGATTCATTCTTAGTTGTTTATATGATATACTGTTGCTATGATATCATATCCATAACATATCATGTACTATAGGAATATTCAAATCTTAAAACTGAATTTAAAAAACTGTACTCGCAGATAGCATAATATAGATTAAATATAAGGCCACCTAAGTGTACTTGAACACTTAGAGACACTTTCATGACTTAAGTTTCTTAATACACTTAAGTACACTTTTAAAGTTAAAAAGCTATACTTTAAACTTCATTTTAAATCATTGTTTTAATAATCTTTTGTCATGCTTTAAAGAAATGTATTCAGTACACTAATTTTGTTGTGTTGACTAACATACTAAACCACACGTAAAGCACTTAATTATAATTGTAATTTGATATTACATTTAAAGATAAACTATTTTAAATGTTCTAAACTTGCGACTTAAAATATATTATTTAGTATACAAGTTTCAATAGAAATTACTTTGAAATATATTTGTTTACAATAAACGCTTGTCAGTGCATTCAACAGTACACTTTAGTCATACATTAGAAGTAATTATGAAATATAAAGATGTACTTAAGTCCTAAGTCAACAAAAGCACACTTAAGTTCATGTAATTGCATTGAATATACATTTTATATAAACTGAATTTAAATTAAATTAACATGCAATTAAGTGTTACATTACATTCAGTTCACACTTAAGTGTATTTTTTTAGCGTTTATTATTTCTGTAATTAATACTCTTTTTAAAAGTATACTGTAGTGTCCTTGTTCTTCATAAGGAAAGGATTGTTTGATTTAAAAGATTCATTATGGTTCATGGCTTTATTACTTAATGATTTTTTAAAAAGTCCCTGTGGAGAAACTGAATTGGAAAAAAAGCTGCTGAACAAGGGCGGTTACTGTTTCGCTCTGTTGGGACGTTAAATGTTTATGATTTCACAGTTCAAATTTCACATTCAATGTTTGTCAAAATAATACCCAAAATGATTTATTTTGACAAAATCGTGCAGCCCTTATATAGGTTTTGATGTTTTTTATTTTCTTGTCCGTATCAGTGTGTGGCCCTCCAGGTTTCTGGTTTTCCCATAGGTCTGTTTGTGGCATTGTTGGTCAGTGGGTCTCTTTATCTGCGTGTAACCACATGTGTGTGCATACTTGTTTGTCGTGCTGGTGTTTCCTGTCTGTGTGTGTGTGTTTCCTGTTCTGTCTGTCAGGCAGCATGACTCCCCTCTGTGTGAGTGTGTTTGCGTGCAGGTTAATTATTCATACCTAGGGGAAGTCGTGGCCTAATGGTTAGAGAGTCGGACTCATAACCCAAAGGTTGTGGGTTCGAGTCTCGTACAGGCAGGGATTGTAGGTGGGGGGGAGTGAATGTACAGCGCTCTCTCCCACCTTCAACACGACTGAGGTGCCCTTGAGCAAGGCACCGAACCCCCAACTGCTCCCCGGGCGCCGCAGCATAAATGGCTGCCCACTGCTCCGGGTGTGTGTTCACGGTGTGTGTGTGTGTGTGTTCACTGCTGTGTGTGTGCACTTTGGATGGGTTAAATGCAGAGCACTAATTCCAAGTATGGGTCACCATACTTGGCCACATGTCACGTCACTTTCACTTTCATACACTGAACACAGGCCAAAAGCAGTTAGGAGAAATACAGCAGCAACCTGTGATCGCCCTCTGCTGCTGATCTTCAGTACAAATGAACTCCTCACATACAGAAACACTTCAACACACTGTACTTTGCCCCCAACACACAGGATCAGCTGACATTTATGCTGCCTTCAAATCACTTCAGGGATTTTTTTTTTTTGCGTCACAACTATCTGAGTTACAAATTGTTATTAGCCATAATTAGGTTTTCATTGTGAATGTTTACTGCAGTGGTTCCCAACCTGGTCCTGGAGGCAACCCAACACTGCACACTTTGCATGTCTCCTTTCTCTGACACAACAATTTCAGGTCTTGGAGTCTCTACTAATTAGCTGATGATCTGGATCAGGTGTGTTTGATTAAGGAGACATGCAAAACATGCAGTGTTGGGGTGCCTCCAGGACCAGGGTTGGGAACTACTGGTTTACTGTACACATTTTGTGTACTATTGATGCTTTATAGCTTTAAAGCTAGCTAGAAAATGCTTCTCATTAAGCTTGTTTATGGTGTGACTGGCTAATGAAACACATACTGTCTGTGCATGTGTTCTTTCCAGTGTTATTTTAGTATCATTGATATACTATAATAGTAGTATACTATTATAGGAAAACACTATTAAATATATTATCTATTTTATTTTATTTTTGTATTTTCTGTTTTCACTTTAAATTTAGTTAAAGTTTTAGTAATTTTTTGTGGGCTTTTGTTAGTTTTGTTGTCATACGTCCATTGAGTTTTTTGTTTTTTTTTTTGTTTTAGTTTATTTAGTTTGAGTTATTTTAGTACTTCGAGTTACAAAAATGAGAATTGTTGGCATCTAACTGAAATAAAATATGTTAAAGTTTTTATTTTATTTAAAAAATAAATGTTAAAAATATATATATTTTATAAATATATTAAAAAATGTACCAAAAATATGTATTTATGTAAATATATATTTTAATAATATATTTTGGGCCATTTTTTGTTTAGTATATTTTCAAGAAAATAATAATAATAAATAAAATAAATGTGTGTGTGTGTGTATATATATATATATATATATTTCTGTATGGGATTTCAAGTAACTTTTTTAATGGTTTTAGTTTTATCTGACTATAATATGAATTACATGTTCAATACTGCTGTTCATCACAGTGATTTTGTTTAATTGTGTTGAATAGGTTGAATGTTGAGTTCATAGTCCAATGATTTACAAATGCTTTACGAATTGATTAGCAAATTAATCATTAAGTAAAACCTGTGTAGAAATGGTTTTGTTCATACATCATCTATCACTAATTGACTGAGTTCTCTTTAAAAAGCCTTCATGTGAGAATTGTGTGTGTGGCACGTGTCACTCAGCTATGTGTTAGTCACCATCTGTCTTCTGGACACTCGTCCTTCATCACTCTGTCTTCCTCTTTGGTCCAGTGCGAATGCCGTGGGAAGTCAGGATAACCTGGGCAATGATACCGAGCCTGAGGTGGGTCCATCGCTGAGAAGAGACCGAGAGCGAGAGAGAGTCAGAGACAGAGACCGAGAGAGGGAGAGAGAGAGGCCTCGTAGGAAAGATACACATGACCATGGTGAGTTTACCCATAAGTCAGTCCTGGCTAATAATGAGGAAACACACAGGCTTGTTTGATGAGTGTTGTGTGCTGCAGGAGGCCGGTTGAACGGTCACTCGCGGCCGGAGCGCAGGCCGGAGATCGCCGGCTATGAGAGCTCGTCCACACTGATGAGCAGTGAGCTGGACACCACCAGCTTCTTCGACTCAGAGGAGGAGGACTCTACTAGCAGGTGAGTCCTGCTCTCACAGACTTATTTCAAGCATTTCTCTTACTCTTTTGAAACAGATGTCTGATGTAGGGCTGGGCGATAAACAATAAACAAAATAAAATTTGTCAATAATGTCAGTAACGATGATAAGCTCTTGACATTTGTGACCCTGGACCATAAAACCAGTCATAAGGGTCACATTTTTTAAATTAAGATGTATACATCATCAGCTTTCCATTGATGTATGGTTTGTTGGGATAGGACAATATTTGGCCGAGATACAACTATTTGAAAATTTGGAATCTGAGGGTGCAAAAAAATTAAAATGTTGAGAAAATCGCCTTTAAAGTTGTCCAAATGAAGTCCTTAGCAATGCATATTATTAATCAAAAATTAAGTTT